CCCCACATGAGACTAAAACTTACTAACCAATTTTAACAATGTGGTGTTGTTGTTCACTTAAAATCTGTCACGTGCTAATTGGAGCATTAAATATCTCCGGTTAAATATGTTCTGACCTTGCACACACAATTGTTTTCTCATATATTTGTGCTGGACTGCTACATCACTTTGAAGCAAGGGGAAGATTGAATATTTCAGAAACCAATTTAAAATCACAGCAGTGAAGATAAAGGGTTTATGACACAATGTTTTATTTTTATTCTGAAATTAGTCATGGAGAAAAAAAATGGTGCCTGTTGCATTAAAGTCCCATTATTCCCTTTTCAGTGCCTAGCAGGTGGTTCTAAACTACACATTGTGGTGGAGTATGTGAACAAATCCACTGCAGTTCAAATGATATCTAAAGAGTCCATTACAAAGTAATAATAGCAGTAATAATGACAAAAATGTTAGCTTTTATATGCTTTTCACGGGCAAGTAGAATTACAAGGATTGTTTTATGTTATTACCTTATGTTATTACCTTTTATTGTCAAAAGGATCCCCATCCAGTTAAGTTTTGGAAATGATTTATGTGAATGTAGACCTGCAGGTACGTATTGCCTCATTTAACCATTACCTTCAGGAAAATCTGGAAGAAGGGTTTGGTTTGTGTTAATCCTGCAAGCAATGTGGAAAACGGATGTTGCTCATAGAGAGGCTGCTTTACCTACTTTCATCCGCTTCATTCAATTTAGGGCTGCGGGGGAGCCAGACCCTCTCCCCTAGTAACACTGGGTACAGGGCTGGACACAGCCTGGATGAGATGCCCGTAATCTCTGTACTTTTGTGTATATTAATAACTTGACTTGAGAAGGGTCCAGTCATGGTCACGGTTCGGTTTTTAAGACATACCAGTCTGGTATAATTGTCTTTAAACAAACTGTATAATGATGTTATAAACAGATATAAAAAATTAATATATACCCATTACACTGGAGCTAGGTTTTGGGCTATGGTCCACATTAGGGCTTTGTTTCTACCGTCTAATTTATGGCAGAGGTTACCATCACGGCCATGTCACTATTAAAACAGTATAATATTTAATTTATAGAGCATTCACCAATGACATTTGTGACCACGAATCTAAAGTGTCACCCAAATTGCACGTTAGTAATAAAATATAGGAGAAAATGACTCCAGAGCAATGTTTATATATAGCATGAAGAATCCTATGCAGTGAGCATAAAACTTCCTCTTGGCACTGTTGCTGTCTAGATTTAGATGGAAGGGTATTATATGAGGGTGGATTACAAGCCTCTCTATCTCCACTAAAATGCAGCATTAAGCATAAGTGCGATGGGATGCTGTCTCCATGGGGTTATCTGCAAATAGCTGCTGGTTCTTTGATAATGGTTATCAAATAAAGCCTTCAGGAGGGCATGGTTCCTGATGACAACAGCTTAAAGTATTATTGTTCAGCAGTCCAGTCTTATCCATTACAAATTACTGTAATCTCTTACTCCGTACACTGCTTCGATCTGTATGAAGCACTTGCTTTGACTTGACACTTAATCCCTAATGGAGCATCGAATATTTTTTTTTTGTCTCGTCTTTGTGTCGGTGCCCTCACAATTTGTTACTTGGTAATCTTACAAGTATGCCTTTCATCCATCTTCCTGGAGCAGTCTGCAAAACTGTTGCCTGGCTGTCAAGAAAAGTTTACTCTCTCACCCCTGTTTTACCAAACTTGCATTTGTCTTTTTCTCAAGGGTTTGCTGTTGTAAAGAAACCAGAATAACAAGCACATGCTCATATCTTTCCTGCAATGTAATGTTTAGAAAACATTCATGTAATTTCCATATTCCATTGTAATAGCACCTACATGCAGAATGACTCATAGCAACTAAAAAACATCACCTGTTTCTTTTTCTGAAGAGAGCAACAGTTGTAAATTCCTTATCACTTTACGTTGGTAGTGGTTTCCCTTTGTTTCACATCACTATTTTTCGAGGGTCAGTTGTTTTTTTTACCGAAATTTTTGGAATTGTGAGTCATGAGTCATATCCTTTTACAAAGTTGAAGTTATTTGGTTATCTACACATTCTTCTCTTGGGAATTATGGTTTCATGCTAGGGGTCTTTACAATGCCTATAATAATTGGTGCCTCCTATTTTAGAAAAGGAATCTGGCTTCAGGTTCTACTCTGTCTTGAATATGTCTGGATAAATCAGTGCCTCACAACCCTTCTGAGTGTGGGGAACCCTTTTCAAACATTTTAAGGACCACATGCTACAATGTTTGAGACTCCATCATATATGTTAAATGTTAGATGAAATTGTTATTCAGTATTACGCACATGGATGTATGAACAGTATATTGAGTAACCTAAGGAATGAGATGGCTGGTGCTGTTTTAGATTACTTCAAAGATAGAGATTTCATATTGTAGCAATGAGAGCTTCACATTTTTTATTATATGGGAACCGCTTGGTTGGATAAGTTGTATTAAGGTGTTTTCACAGCTGCAGTTATGTCTGGTTTCACTATTGGCCTGGTTTGAGTGGAGATCCAGTGGCTAGACCATGTAGCAGGCTAAAATAT